ATTGGTATTCACAAGAAACTCCAACATACATAACTACGTCAATACTCTGTGCCTCTGGGCAATACCTACGGTATTTCCTTGTTATGATTATATTTTATACAAATTGTCTTCCGCGACTCTGTCCGCGCAGAATTAAAAATAAAAACATTATTAGTAGCAAAGTTCTTCCAGACTATGTTCTGTATATAATATATACCAAATTACATCGAGATCCGTTCAGGCGTTCTAGAGATACCTTCAAACAAACATCCATCTAAACATTCACATTTATAATATAAGTAAGATATACGCAATTCATTTTTTAATATTCATACTCTTAATAATACGAATGTTATATCAAGGATAACAGAGCAAGATCTAGGTATATGGTAAAACCTAAGAGTAATCGTAATCATCTTGGTTTCAATAAATAGCGATCGGTATTACGTCGTACTATCTTACTAATAATGTGAATTATTGGATGGATGGATGGATGGTATCTCCAGAACGGCTCAACTAATACAGATGAAATTTAACAAAGATGTATAACATAGTGTGGAAGAACACATATGCTACTAATTAAGTTTTTTTTTTTAATTCAGCACGGACGAGATCGTGGGTGTCAACTAGTATTGAAATAAATCAATAGCATAACTAATAAATACAATTGTGACTGCAGTATAATACATATTAAAAACAAACTAAAGTACTTCCTCGCGGGCAATTTAGTTTGCAATGTCAATTGAATTGTGCGACCGACCGTAAACCAAAAATTTGACAAAGAAACTTGTATATAACGATCATTGTAAGCATATAACAAGACCGATCTAGTATCAGTAATCGTATTTACATTATTGTATTTGTATTTCATTATGTTTGTGTATTTCCGATAGAAAATTTTGCACAGAATAATAGCAGAGTAAAAACGAACAATCATGTCTTTTAATTGAGTAAATTCCTTGAATTTCCATCTAGCAAAGAATCTCTAAATCCCTTCTAGTAAAATAGTATTGCGATTGTACCGCCACAACATACCAAACAGTATACCTACCATAATTGACATAAATTATTTGACGTAGACAACATTCTACCCCAATCTTACTTCTTACTAATATTATAAATGCGAATGTTTGTTTGACCGTATCTCCGGAACGGATGCATGGATATCGCTGAAATTTAACATAAATGTAGAACATAGTCTGCAAGACCACATAGGCTACTAATTACTTTTTTAATTTCGCGTGGACGGAGTCTCGGGCGACAGCTAGTAAATACATAATTAAAGCAACGACAGGGTATAGATTTTCAGAGTTTTTAATAAGCTGTCTTTTGTTCTAGCAGTTTATGACGAATAGCAGTGAAGTTTTAGAGTATTTAGTGTGAAATGAACAATATTTATTTATTTATTCTTCCGTGTTTGTTTTAGCACGCTGTTCACCGGCGGCAAATATGTGCTGGCCGGCACCAACAACTCTGAGGACGGCAGCGGAGTGACGCGACGTGTCAAGAAACTGTATATACACCCGCGCTTTGCAGTCGGTCCCTACTGGCTCAATGCAAAACGCTACGACATCAAACAGGTGCCTAAACTCAATATCCTTAAGTACTTCGACAAGCTTATTGAGTCACTTGCTCTAATAACAATGACGATGGCGTTTGAGATACAATATTACAGTTCATTAAGTGAAAGTATTCTCTAAACTCTAAAACCTCTTCCTCGTAGTGCAAGTTCTATGCAAAATAAATGTACTATTTCCATGATTAACGGCAATAAGCCAGAAATAATGAGGTATATAAATAGGCAGATGTTTTCCAAATACCAGTATGTTTTATCATTAACCATACATGACGCAACACGAAGAAAACCCGTTGCAAATGGTCTCAATCACAAACATTAAAAGATGATTAAGGTTAAAGCGCAATCGACAACTCCTTTTAGCATCCTTCTTCCTCCTTGTATTTGAGTTTTAATCCCTTAATTCCTTTGTCATTAGGTAGCTGCGAGGTTCGACTACCTCTTAGCGGAATTAGAGGAACCTTTGGAACTGGACGGTGTGACGATAGCCGCTGCAACACTGAATGAATTGCAAGATCTTACTGCGGGAATCAACGTTGGATACGCTGGTTACGGAGCCGAGCATCAAGGGGTAAATATATTCAAATTAAAACCTAATTTTAAACTTTCATACGATGACGGATTCTTCAAATCTTACTGCGTCTTTTATCTGCCGTAAATCCTGTATAAAAATATTCCCATCCCCCTCATTAACTATGAAATTAAAACGAAAATAACAAAACTGTATATACGAGTAATTTAGCAATGAAATCGCACAGCAAAATTCTTAGCTGTTTGGCAAAAAAACAATATAGATTGCGAATGTGACCAAACAAAATTTTGTTTTTCTTTTTACTATTAAAACATTTTTTTTTTTTTGAATAAGTAATTATATTTGTAATTTTGTTTTTCATATAACTTTAAACTGTTTTTGACGAAATAATTCAAAGAAACTGAGAAAAAAATACAAATATACAAGCATCTCGAGTATGGTTTCGTAACCGTTACCAATTAATTTGTTAGGAAACAATGCGACACGAGATGCACGGCATGGATCTGACACTGCTGGCTGAGGAGGAATGTGCCAGATTAGAAGAATACGACTCTCAAGACATGATTTGTATCAGAGGACGAGCCCCTAGATACGACTCCGCTTGTAATGTAAGTTATTGTCTCTGTCAAAAATACAGGCAACTTTAAATCATTAAAAAGAATATAAATAATAATAAACTAAATCTTATTTGAATAATTTAAAGGAAATTTTTCCAATTCAATTTTAATCCAACGACTATTTAGATTAACCACTATAAAATAATTATATTATTCAATAACTTTACATGACAAGTTTGTAAATTGAATTGTAATAATTCAAATGTATTTTATTTTAATACGGTATTGCAATCTTCCATCCATAAAATTCAATTTGTTAAACATAAAATAATAAATTGCGATTACAAAGAAAAACTTGATATGTACTTATTTCGTACAAATATTTATTTTAGGGGATAGATAGCAAATGCGTACAAAATTTTTTTAACATTAGAATTATATTGTTCGTTGACAGGGTGACAGCGGCAGTGGTGTTGTAGACGAAAACGGTGTTCTCATCGGCATAGCGTCCTGGGTGGAGAACGACGCCTTGGAGTGCCGTAACGGTGCGGTCGTATATTGCTCCAAAGTGGCCACAGCACGTCCCTGGATACGCAAGATTACTGGCATCTAATTATGTTTAATTAATATATAATACATAGAAACTCCGTACTAAACATATGCGATTGGGTGCAGTGTTAATCTGTAAAATTATCAAAACAATTTGAAACAGATTATAAAGTAATTTATGTGTTCGACAACAGTGATACTTGTATTGATATGTTGTTGTCTCTGTTTTTTTTAAAGAGAACGCAAGAGATGATATATGTACAGTCAGCGTCATATAGATCGTCACAGACAAGATATGCAAATATATAGGTACATCAAAAGTAATCAATTATATCGGTACAACAAAAGTCCTCAAAATAATAGATACATTCACCCTGCTCAAAAACATCGGTACATACACAGCGTCAAATATATGAGTACATGCAAGATGCTCATAAATATCGTAGCAGCCACAGCGTCATAAGTAACGAAGCAGTCAAGGTGCTCAAAAATATCGGTACATTTGACAAAATTGAACTCTATCTCTATATACTTGTGATACAATTTGGAATAAACTACTTCTGTTACATTCATTTGACACTTTGCATCAAACCATTTTTCAAAATTTACTAAAAGTGTTCGACGCGGATGACAGATATTACGTAGATAAAACCAACATCAAATTTAAGTTTGTCATCATATATGCTAGTTTGGTCTCGTGGCCTTACCGTTCGCCGCCGTTGGTACCTAAGTTCGGCGGTTCAAATCCCAAGCAACTATTTTTTTTTTGATATTTAAACTTTTTAATTTTAATATCGAAGCACATGTAATTAAACTCTATCGCCGTAGTTAAAAGTA